GTTGAGAGTCATTCCCATATTTTCATTCTAACATTTCGTTCATTTCTTTTGAAATGTACTTCAAACCAATTGTCCTCCATCGGCTCTCGCTTTGTTAATTTTCATTCTCCCGTTGTGTTGATTTAACCCCTTCTTTTTGGGTAAGTCATTCTGATGACTGATTTAGCTTCACATAGATAGGTATATCATTTCTGTGCTTTAAACTTTATGCAACCAATATTCTCTGATAAATTTGTCGAGTGCAGTATTTATTGTGGAGGTGATGAATTGCTTGTACACACCTGTTTCATTTATCCAGTTCAAATGTGTTGATATATTAGCTGGCCAGAAGATTAAGCTTTAAGGCTATACATTACCGGGGTTTAAAATGATTCAATACACCCATATGTCAGGCACTGCTTCAGACTGAGTATACCAAAATTGTAGGATGTGTGAAAACCTCACTTAGTGACATCATATTGACTGACTTCGCATTCATTTTAACAAATAAAATGTTTTTATCCCATGGTAACCTTTATTTGCATGAATATCGTTGTACCGATATAGAGAAAGCTTTCATGTTTATACACGTGCGTATTTTGTGAATCCAGCTCATCGTGTGAGAACAGTAAGCAAGCGAATATATCAGAGCAAAAACATGAGGCAGTGCATGGTCCATTACTTATCACTCCCAGTGATGTCCTTATTCGTTTAAGTGAAGTACGTGAGTTAAGCATTGTTCCAGTGATTCGCTTTGATCACCCTAAGCAAATGCGACAAGTCAGCTTGAAGCGTGGATCAGAAAGAATAACTGAAGTCAAGCAATATGGCCCTAGTCAAGACATCGTTAATACAAGTAAATTGTCAGAGAGTACAAACAAGCTGTCGGATTCATCATTACAGTGTAATGAGTCTACGGATATTGCCGACAGCTCTAAAAGTCTAGATCCATGTGACGATATTGGTCAATTAAGTGAAGTGATGACTAACGGCTTTTCTAAACAAAAGGAAATCGACCAGAAATTTGGCAAGAAGTCTTCATTCAGGAAAGGAAAGAACAAGGTGAAAGAGGAAGTTGGAAAACTAGGAGAAGAAGAAGGAGAGAAGTCGAACTCTTCGATGAAGCATTTGAAGTTCTCCGAAAATAGATCTAACACAAAAATAAACTGCAATAACAGTACGGACTGTAACAACAGTCAAAGTGTCCAACAAAATCTACAAAAACAAGTCCCAGTAGAACAGAACGAAAACAATGAAGCAAAATCACTGTCTGTACAGAAAACAAAAAGACGTAACACATCTGCAGAAAGTAGAAGGCGACGAGAACGACGTCTTTTGAACAAGCAAAGATATTCGGAGGTAGGTTATTGGGTTAAAGTTAGTTTCGTTTTTACACCAGCCATAGTTTTTGGTCGATTGATAGTTCAGAGTGTTACCTGAAAAGAACTGTGATTGTTTGCAGAAATTTAGAAATATCTATGGTAAAGCTTTAAACGACGAAAGTCAGTCAGTCAGTCAGCTGCAACGTAGGACCAGGCACGTATATGCATCGATCCAATTTGCCATACCGCATTAGCACAACAAGATCAACACCGGATTCATAGAAGTAGTTAATTCAGTGGTGGTAATATATAGAAGAAAGATTGCATATAAGGAGATAGTACAGGAAGAAAGAATTAGTTCCTAGAAAGGAAGATATGAAGCAATTTTAATCTCTTAGTTTAAAGGAAGATAGAGAGTGTATACACCGACGCCATTGTGATCGATTCTGACTTGACGAAAGCCATTTACTGGTTCATTATTTCGATAAGAGAGATGAATAGTATTACTAATTATCCTCAATATAAAAGGTCGAAGTGGAATACACAAACTTGTGTTTAGTTAGAATTAAAATGTAATAATTAGGACGTTTCATCATGACCTAATATACCATGTGAATTTATTTCATCAATTAAAGTAACCCAAAATGCATTTTGAAGTACTAGACGTTTGTCGCAACTAATTATAAGAAATGGTATGATTTGTCAGTGTTTGTCGATGTTTTCTATATTTTGTGACCAGAGACATCGCTTAGATTTTCTTGGAACTTGTCACAGCTGCATGTACCTGAATATACTAGTGATGATGTTCTCAATGAAATCACGTCTCACCACAAGCACCATTATTAACAGACTTCAGGGACATCCAAATGACGATAAATTCCCAATTTCGTGAAATCTTGTGCTTTAGAAAACAGCGAAACCGATTGCATGATTAGTTGTTTTAATAGTAGCCTATTAAATTAGCGTTGGTTTGCCCTAGTTACATATTTTTTTCATCAATTTAATGTTTACCACCCAGTAACGGTTGTCAGGGTGGCATTTTCTTTCCATTTCGTTCAAATATGTGTTAACTGAAATGTGTGCTTAACTCAAAGGAATTTAAAACGCGCCTACTCTGTGATGTTTTCAAACATTTAAATAGGGGTCGAGTGAATGATATCAGGTTTTTAGTCAAACGCTTGTCTTTTAGATTATTGAATCGTGATCCAATAATCCCATTCCTAGCCTCAGTCTTTTCGACATTAGGCTAGGCGACTACACAAAGTGCTAACTGACGAAAAATTCCATACCAGGGTCAAATGACTACATAGCGCCTTCAAGTTTACGCTGGTACTACAACCAACATCCATCCGTAATGAAAGTCGACCCACATGAAACATTTTTTATTGAACACAGTTGGTTCTGTCAAGACCGTTTGAAACATATAAAAATGGTGTTAGTTTTAACATTCTGGTCCCTATAATGTAACTGATACTATTGTCTAATTGTTGATTTTTCAAAGAATTCGGACTTCTTCAATAGCCTTCAGGTGATTAGAACTATCTTTAAGGAGAGATATTTTGTTAGAAATTCAGTATTCAGAAGGATAAAATACTTCCTTCCCACTTCATCTAACATAGTGAGGAATGGTGAGGTTAGATGTAGGCCACTAGGTAAAGACTGAAAATTCATTGATGAATTTGTGTTTTCTCACCCAGTGGGGCTTCTACGGTATACGCCCAAAGTACAAAATTCGCCACATAACCTGATATGAACTCCTGACTGGCGTGGAAGTCGGTCGGAAGCAAGCTAGAGGCTGTTAAACCAAGTTGCTGACTCTTGATTTGAGTCATGTTAGTAAGTGTTGGGATTCAGACAACAACTGTGAACAGCAGTCGAAAACATGCAGCTGGTAAGCCCCAATAAAGATGGGCACGACTCCTAGATTTCATTGCTAGCCACGTCACATCTATTCTATTAAAGTGGTGGGAGAGGTTTAGGTGCCACAACTGGCAGTGGTATCCAATCATTCGTTCGTCACTCCCTAGTTTCTGAGTCTCGGTATTATCTCAAAATTTTTCTACAAACCTAATACGTTTTTCGAAGCGAGTTCTCTGTGTTATTGTGATTAATTACTACAATCATTCCCATTCGTTTGTTATTCAATAGTTTTAATTTCACATTTGATATACCAACGTGATACGATATAATGACCTGTGCCGAACCACGTTTATGTTACGCGACAGGCCAACCGTGACTGATTCATTGACCGACCCACTTTGTCCTAAAGACTTACCTGGCATGAATAACTGTCAGGTGGCAATTAGTTTCCTTTACGATAAAACAAAGTCATGTTCAAAGTTATCAGTGGCAAAGACTACGTATTCGCTAGCATAAACTATGAACGTTTCTTATAGATTGATTTCTACTAATTGCTTGTCTATAATATTAACAAATTATAGGGTAGCGGTAAAACGCAAGCCAAATCTGTCAATATCTCTAGTTCATCATTCTTAAAATGCCCAACATCTACACCACATTTGACAAATGGTCGTTCTGAAGCATCATCAAAATGGTACGATAATGGCATTGTGTCGATAACAATTCAACAGTCGTCAACAAACTCAACTATGAACCATTCAAATAGTTTGTTGAAACCAAGACAGAAATCACCAGTGAAAAATCGCAGCTTGAAATAAATGAAATCCAGTGAATGATGACTAGTCATCTGTTGTATCTTCAAATTTAACACTGACAATGCTACTCTTGTTTGATCGATATTATCAAATAAGTTTAATCTATCTGATATTCAACAATACAAGAGTCCGATTTTACTGTTTATCATTCATACTTTAGTTCCAGACAAGCCTATTGATGAAAAGAAATGTGCATTCATCATTTTCATCATATTAGTCTGAAAATTTCGGTTGATCATTATAAATCCTTATTTGATGTTAGGTGGTAGTAACTAGTCGTTTCGATGCTCACGTTGACCCAGACTTTCATGTCACTTGGTTTTGATTAATGAAATGTTTCAACAATCCTGAACCAAGTGATAATTTAATCCAGTAAGATTCAAACTGGCTTTCCTAAATATCTACTGACATTAAGGGGTTATAGGCACCAGTTTGGAGAAATTTTAAGTTAGAACAAATCAGTTAAGCGAAAAATATACAATTCTAACTAACAGACAAGATTTAAGCTAGTGTCGTGGAGTTCTGAGCGAGAGTCAAGGTGCAGTGATGGACTGCTTATTTCATGCGAAAAGCTAAGTAAGAAAGAGGTAGAACCTACCATTATTCTGAAATAAGGGACTAACTTGGACTTTTCTTAAAATAACAATGAGAGAGTGATTACTTTGCGATGTAAAAGGAAACACAAACAAATCCATTTCAGGTATTTACCAAACTAGAACATAATGGATTTATGATGACAATTTAAGGGATTTTAGCACATGAAATCATACAACTAACTGTACATATATCTATCATCGTGTTGATCAGACATTCTTCCGTACACGATTCCTAACTGTCGCTACTGACTCTATAACTTAATTTTCAGTCCTAATCCCTATCAACAATTATTCAGCAAACTAATATCACTATTAGAGTGATTCGAAGGTTTGGTGAATAGCTCACTGTAATTGGGTGTTCCTCTGAATGAAGTAGTCAATCAACGTCATTGTAAGACGAACACGGATAGACAACAAGCTCGCTTTCGAAGTATCCGTTTGTTATCTAAAGTTCATTGTTATTTGGATCAAAGTGTCTACAATCATAGATAGCAACAACAGAGATATTACAAAAGATATTACGAAATGGATAGATGAAATAAGAGTACCCCCATTATTCACATAAAAGCATAATTAAACAAATTTACTTATAAACGCTTGTCCATGTACACAAAAATCAAATGAAGCAATAAGAATAAAACAACAAAGTTTAAAAATCAAGTAAAATTAATTGAACTAGTTTCCCTACTTTCTTCAGGAAATAGAAATGTTCGTTAGATAAGCAGAGAAGTAAGGAGCATAGGAATAATTGAATATTGAGTCTAAGTTGTTTGTTTTATCATCCGTTTATAAAATTGCCTAAATCACAACGCATCCACCTTTTTCTTGGAATGGATTATCTTTCTTACTCGCAAATCCTGAAACTAGACAATCTTTGTCTCGATTCTGCTCCATATACACAATCATTTCTTGCACACATTCAGAAACAGGACGACGATTTAAATTTGCTTCTTGACGTAGTTGTTCAACTAGTTTACGTTGTTGGCTTAAAGTTGACATGCTTTGAATTTTGACTGGACGGTTACTTTGATCCAATGAAAATCCTGGAAGACGAAGAAGCAAAACAGATCAACATGTAGGATAGGTGAATATTGTAGTGTTGTCAACATAAACATCTAAAGATTATGGCTTCTATTTCAGATAGGCAGAAGTCAGATAGTGGAGTCAGTGTATAGATCACTAGACTGAACGTTGTTCCACCTACCTGATCGGACCAGCGTGGCACTATCGTTCGATTGTTGTCAACTGTTTATTGTGAATATTTATCCCTACTTGGAGGAGAGGGCATTTATCAATAACTGTCAATATCAGCATAACTGTACTTGTTAAAATCAGTAACATACATCAATCTGGGGAGCTTCACTGAATCACTGTGTGGCACTTCATAGGCATATTCTGATTACGTTGTGCTATAGAAGTTGATGAACACACTCGTGGTCTATCAAAGATACTTACACAACTAGGGAACATTTACATGCAGTGTACTACATAAATTTTAACAGATTAGCATATTGAGATTAGATTGTACAGTTTGTAGTTTATATCATGGATGTCCAACGTTAAGTAATATTTCGAGACGAAGCAGTTGTTCAGTGCTTCTTGGTTTCAATGATTATATAATTTAAACTAGGAAATCAGATAATATATTTACCGAATAATTCCTTCAAGATTTCATTTTACAATGCACTACACAATAATCATTTCGCTTAGTTATTCCACAAATTGAATACTGAAGTAATTCAAGCAGTTGATTATTATTTTCTGGATCAGGATTTCAACGCCGTTCAGTGTAATTCACTTCGAGTAGCTCAACTATAACTGATTCAGTTGTACCGTAATTGTTAAATAAGTAGTCAATCACTATGAATATCACAGTTCCCTAGTTGTTTATTTGTGGCAACCTCTCAAATTGTCATACTCTGTGATATTCCATTCAAACAATGGAGAATTCGAGAGATTCCCTCTTAAACAGAATAGAATAGCAATAGAATAACAATTCTAATAGCAGAACAGATTGCAAAAATAATTATTCAACTCACTTAATCCAATTCAATCACAAGTTTCCACTGTGAAAATCAATGAATAAATAAATCACTAAATTGACTTTTATTTATTTATCCAAGGAAAACTATTCCTTCTTACGATCGATCAATACTTTTTAAAAAGAAGGATAGGAAACAAGGACAAATGATTCATCCAATCAAAATACAGCAGATGAAATCAATAATCACATTTTGATTGGTCCATTTCATGTTAGAAAATCGATCGATAATTGGATAAATGTCCAGACGTGTATTTATGATATCCATTCAAGTTAGTTTTTCTTTCAGTATTCTATTTTGTTTTTTTACAGAAATTACAGTGACGAGTTGGTTTTCGTGTTTGTTTTTTGGTGTAATAATTCTAAACATTATTACATTTGAACTTAATTTGATGTTGTTTTACTTGTATCTTCTGATTGTCATTTAGGACTGCAATTGTGAGTAGTCTCATGTTGGCATGTATGCATCCTGTATGAACTGCCTTGATATTGCTTGAAGTCACAACCTTTATATGCAAAGGTGGATAGTGGTTAGCAGTGAAATTCAATACTCGCATTTTTGCCTATTTGGGACTCGTCTTCTGGATTATATTTATATTCAGTAATGATGTTTGATCAGTTTTTGCTATTATATTTTGATCCATTGTGGATTGCCTTGATATAGTCATTTTGTCACAAGTTTAATGGAATAGATTTGTTGTAGATGTCAGTGTAGTTCATGTCACACATCCTATTAAATGCAGGACTCGTTGGCTGAATGTACTTGCATTCTAGTGTTGATGATTGCAATAGGACTCGAATCCACTACTTTCCACTGCAAACGTCCAAAAAGTTAGCCATTGAGCTACAGAGCTTAGCTATCTATTAGCTTTTGCAACGAGTAAGGTGTTTATATACCATCATTAGTAATTATTTGAATTATCTTATTGTAAACATCAGCACTGGGATTTATGTATATTCTGCTGAAAGGTCGAAATAAGACAAAATGAGTGTCTTAGATTCCAATGCCGGTTATAATATCTTCACTGATAACAACATGGCAAGTGATAGCTGTATGTAGCTAATGAAGTGACTTTACATTGAATTTTTATTTATAACGATGGTGTTTCGATCGGAAAAACAATAAGCACACGTTACTTTTCCTCTGTTTACATTGAACTAAACCGAATCATGTCATCACTGAAATACTGAAGAGATAGTCAGAAAAACCTTATTTTGTCCGATTTTTAGCTCTTCGTAACATAAATATCGAAGATGAGAAGAACCACTTTCAAATGAATCCTTAACTCGATAAACTATCCTCTCAATTTGACAAAAGTCCGGTTAATTAATGTGTTAAAAACTCAAAAGCCATCGTCAGTGAGATAGTGGAGAAGATTTGTAGCTCAGGTGGATGATTTTGATGGAGTTTTGTTCTCTGAGCTGGATGGTTTAATTTTGGGGCTTTCATCATTTTTCTGAACGACATCATCAGCACGAACTTCAGATAGAAGTGAAGTGTTCGAATTTTTCAATATGTGTTTCACAGCTTGTCTTGTACATCTCGATGTTGATTGGTTCTTGTTTACCTTAAACTTGTCATTGTTTACTTTTATCTAAAGGTTTGTGCTGCTGATGTCGTTCAGAGGAACGACGAAAGTTCCACGACCAAACAATCCATCTCAGAGAACAAAACTCTTACACAGCCATTTTCAGTGTTGAACAAGTTCAATGATGCTTTGTTTCTCTAGGATTCTAATGAAGCATCCACAAATCTATATATCAACTTCGACAAAAAGAATTTTTCAGTAAGGTTTAAATCTCTCAAATATTTACTTCGATAAGATTCGATATGTACGATACTTCGAATGATGCTCAACTGTGTTCGGCTGTTAAGTGGTGACAAACAGATTTATCTACATCTAAACTACCATATGGTTAAGTATTATGTGTGAAAGACTGATTTGTTCTCTATGCTCAATGTGTTGTAAATTGCTGGTGTTTGTGCTGGATAGAATACTGTGCGGCTTGTATTCTGCTACTATATTTTCGGTCGCAAGACTTATTTTGGCTTAGTGTAACATTAAGAGATATATATATGATATGTGAATCGGATATTCCAGTCTAGTGATCACACATTCTCGTTTATAGATCTTATTATCTGAAAGTAGTATCGCATCACAGCAAAAGAATAATTTTTCTGAGTGTAGAATAAATAATAGACAGTTGCAGTCATACTGTATTATGTGCTATTAATGTCGACAAATACAGGTATTATGTATGACCAATCCAAAAGAGGAATGCCTGGTAACAGAAGGTTGACAATATCGAGTGGAATAAAACGAGAACAGAGAGTGATTGGTTGTGGAAATGAAAGGACAATTGATGAATAATTTGCAAATGAATTGTTTACTGTATGCAGGAGCATTGAAGCTAAGGACTGTCGAGTATCACGAAACGTCTAAATCGTTCAAATGAGATACGCCCAAAATCGAAGTTCGTAAAACAATGACTTCTCTAAAAAAAAGATATTTTATTGAAAAATAAACAAATATTAGTTACAGATCTGAACTTGTGAGATGACTAAGGTGTTGATCGCGTCTTTTTGTTTGAAATAAAAAAGGCTTCCCGTAATAGTAACGTAAAGAATAAATACAACACACGATACTGCTAAACTTGATAGAAGTTTATCAACCGGCATCAACCGAACCAAAAGCAAACAATATGGAAACTATTATCAGAAGGGGTTTTGTGGAGATTGTAGTAATTTCATTGATTAAGATCATGAGTCAGTTGAAGCTAGACCACCATGGAAAACTTGGAAGCACTGACTCATGATCTTAATCAATGAAATTACTACAATCTCCACAAAACCCCTTCTGATAATAATCAACATATGCTCATTAGTGACTGGCTTCAAGAGGTATATCCTGGAGTTCTAGTGAGAAGTAGTGACCAGTGGAGTTCAAACCAGGTCTGTTGTGGGATAGAAACTCACTGAAGACAATGGTGGATGTGTCGCTCAATTTCGTGGATTAGTTGAAGTTAGACATTAACACCGTTGGATGCCGGCTCAGTGGTCTAGTGGTTAAGTGCTCGCGCGCAAAGCCAGTAGGTCCTGGGTTCGAATCTCGCAGGGGGCAAGGTCGTGGATACGCACTGCTGAGGAGTCCCATAATAGGACGAAACGGCCGTCCAGTGCTTCCAGGTTTTCCATGGTGGTCTAGCTTCAACTGACTCATGATCTTAATCAATGAAATATGGAAACTGTTGTGTTTACAAATAGATTGAACAAATGTACAAAATTGTGAATAACTGCTACAATGATTGAGATAAAGTAATTATAATAACAAAATACAATAAAGTGTTATAAGTAGATATAAATATTTCAGAATATTACACGACAAATTTACATTACAACATAAGCGTAAACATTGTTAGGAATGCAGTCATCTACTGAATATCAATAAGTAGTATAAAACAATACACAAAATAATCTAAAGGAAGTGAATAAGTACAGTGAATGGAAAACAGAATAAACAGTAGTAGGAAGTAGTAATCTTTATTTGGAACAAGCTGATATACCAGTGTTTCATTGACATTCAACAGTTTCTTGTCTTGATTAGTCTCATATGTCTAAATTGTGATAAGGTGTCATAAAAATGTTCATGAAATAGATTCTAAACGCTGTACAAAACAATGAAAAATTTCAATATTTTAAACATCCCAATCATATTAAAAGACTGATATATTGGACGAAGAATATTCTTTTCGACGAGTTCTCTTCAGGTTCTAAAATTCATGTATATCCAAATTATTAATCCGAAGAAAGTGGTTAGGTTGTGGGGAAAGTACATCGTTTAAAGCATGTGAATTTAGGATTGTTAAACAAAATACAATATATGAACCATTCATTTCGCATTCACCCCTCCCTATTACGTCTTACTGGTTTTCCACACAATACAGCCTTCCACCAAACATTTGACCGAATTGCAATTTCACTATTATTTCCCTCAACCTATCTGACGTATGTTTATTCTGATCACGGATCTTAAAATTCACCTAACATACATGCGATTCAGGTTGAAATTCTATATGAGTCAACAATTTTATTGTGTGTTGTTCAACCAGGTCTGTTGTGAGATAGTGCCTTACTGAAGACAATGGTGAATTTTTCGGTTGATTTCGTGGATTAGTTGAAGTTAGACAATAACACCATTGGACGCCAGCTCTGTGGTCTGTTGATTAAGTGCTCGCTCGCGAAACCAGTAGGTCCTGGGTGCTATGTCGTGGATGCGCACTGCTGAAGAGTCTCACTAAAGGACGAAACGGCCGTCCAGTGTTCCCAGGATTTCCATGGTGGTCTAGCTTCAACTGACTTATGATCCTAACAATTGAAACTACTTGCTACTACTGTTTATTCTGTTTTCGATTCGCTGTCTTTATTCTCATGCTTTCGACTCATTTGCATATTGTTTTATGCTACTTATTGAAATTCAGTAGATAGTTGCATTCCTAACAATGTTTACGCTTATGTTGTAACGCAAGATTGTCGTGAAATATTTATATCTACTTATAACACTTTATTGTATTTTGTTATTATAATTACTTTATCCCAATCATTGTAACAGTTATTCACAATTTTGTGTATTTGTTCAATCCATTTGTAAACGCGACAGTTTCCATATTGTTTGCTGTTGGTCCGGTTGTTGCTTTTTGGTAAACTACTACGTAATGGATGAAGCATGACATCACGATCAAAGTACTAACAGGAGTAGTGGATAACCCATACCGCTTTAAGAAATAGACAGGAAATCTACAATTTCTGATTTGTATTCCAAATTTTCCCTATAGCACTGAGTGTACATCCAATGTATATTCGAATTTCTCCAATCAGATCTATAGGTCTCAACGATAAAGT